GTGTTTGTGTGTTTGTGTGTTTGTGTGTTTGTGTGTTTGTGTGTTTGTGTGTTTGTGTGTTTGTGTGTTTGTGTGTTTGTGTGTTTGTGTGTTTGTGTGTTTGTGTGTTTGTGTGTTTGTGTGTTTGTGTGTTTGTGTGTTTGTGTGTTTGTGTGTTTGTGTGTTTGTGTGTTTGTGTGTTTGTGTGTTTGTGTGTTTGTGTGTTTGTGTGTTTGTGTGTTTGTGTGTTTGTGTGCTTGTGTGTTTGTGTGTTTGTGTGTTTGTGTGTTTGTGTGTTTGTGTGTGTGTGCGTGTGTGTGTGTTTTTTCTGTTTCCAGCCAGTGGCTCAACCTGTTACTAATTCGCTGTAGCTCTGTCGGTCTCTCTTGACCGAACAGCTGGCACTTCACCTTTCTGAAGCCTGCGCAGGGCCCGTTTCCCGTGAACTGTGGGTCGGCCCTGGCAGGGAAGAATGAGGTTCCTCGCCCCCTTCTGGGCATAGAACCCGCATTTCAAACAGATCAAAGCCCCAAACACTTGGTGGACTCCGATTGCGCGTGAAACATGCAGCCCCCGGCCGTTGAAGACCTGTCTACCCGCTGGTGAGAGCACCACGTCTCTCATTAAACTCTTCACACAGGGAGTGTCAAGGAAACGATTCAACTCTCTCCTCGGCGCGGATCCTCCACGCTCCCTGCATCTCACTCTGGGGCCTAGGATGTGCGCACCATTGTGCTCAGTGAGCTGGATACTGCGCTCTTCTCTCTCTCTTCTTTCATTCATGGCTCTCCTACTGGGCTGGTGCCTGGGCACCTTCTCAATCACACTCTCTAGGACTTTGGCTAAATGCTTCCTGACCGAAAAACCTACTGCCGTTGCCATTTCAACCCTGCATCTGTCAGCAAACGAAATTCTGAACTCCTCGGCAAGTCTGCTCGCTGCGGTGTCCGCGATAGCATTGACCAAGAGGGTGGCAGGATCTACTCTCTGTTCGATCGCCTCCTCCGCATTAAGGTGGTTCTCCACCTTCAGCACGCGAATTCCTCTGCTTGGGTGCTCCGCCAGCGTCTCTCCAAGACGCCGCCAGACATCCACATGCGTGTCTGGAAGCTTGCCTACTTTTAGCTTCTCGACTCCCCGCATGACATATTCTGAGTCCGTCACATATATTGCGTGCGCCTGCGGAAGGACTGCAGCTGTAAACTCCAGCAACGCTGTGGCTTCGCCACGATTTACTGTCTGAAAAAAGCCTGGCAGAGTCCCTCCCTGCAAGTGCCCCAACCTCAACTCACCCACGTCGTAACTCCCGTCCTCTCGGAATCCGCCTAGGGTAGCACAGGCCCAGGCCACTCGGCGCAGCTTGGGATCCTGATCTTCCCCCCCCGCTGGCGTCACCTCCTCCAAAGATGGCGCCTGGGCCTCCGAAAACTTGGTGGTTTGACCTACCAAAAACATTGCTGATGTCCTCGTCCGTCGGATCTGGGACGCTAGTCCACGTAGATGACACCAATCCTCGAATCCACATGCTGGGCAAATTATCCGACTCTATTCTCGCTTTTGCAATTATGCCGCTGGAAATCGTCTGGAACTCTTGATTAGCTGGGCACTCCCAGCAACGATGCTTGTCAGTTTCTAGAGCCTGTCCGCAGCGTGGGCACACGGGGTCAGGCTCCAGGCCATATTCAAAAAGTCTCTGTCTACACCATGTTGCTCCTGTCATGACGCACTGCAAAAGGCCTTTCCACTTATAGCCGCTACGCTTTAAAGCCATGCGGCACTGTCGACGGGGGCCCTTCATGTCGGGCACAAGCTGCAGTCCTTCTCCCATCCAGGAGTTCTTGGCCGCCTTCGCCCAGAGCCTCCGACCGATACTGTCCGCTACGCACGCAAAAAGAATGTGCGACTTGTCGAGAGGGCCTCTCCCGATCATCTCTACTGGTGCCCCGAAGGTCTCTCCCCGATGTCACTGTGCCGTCTCCAAGGCCCTTCAGGGTTCCAGCCTAGATCTAGCATGGCACAGATCGTGGCTGCCATGGGTGAGCATACTCGCCCCCAGCGTTGTCTGGGGGCCTTGCTGCTTAGATTGGCTAGCACTCTTCCCCAGCCTCTCTGCACACGCTCTACATTCACCCTTAAATCGCCTAGAATTGTGAACCACATCTTGACCACATCAAAAACTGCTGTGTACGCTGGATCCTGCGTACCGCATTCTAGCGCTAGGAGGGTCGTCAAGCAACGGCCGTGTTTTTTCCTGCTCGACAGGTCGGCCATCGCTCGCCTCCAGCGCTGTACTATGCTGGGAGCTGCCCCATACACCTGATCCGAGTAACGCGACTGAGCGAAAGCCGAGACCGAAATCATTCTCTTGGACAGCTCCCTGTGCTTACGTGCTCCCTTCGCAAACCTCGAGAGTCTGCGGATCTTAAAACTTGCTGCAACTCGTCTTGCTGCCTGCTTGGGTCTACGTTTTGCGATTCTGCCTCTGTCCAAACCTAGATCTGGCGCATTCGATTTCACCTGGATGCTGACGCTGGCTGCTGCAAAGCGCTGGGCCAGTTCACTAGCCGTCTGGGGACCCGATGAGATGACGCATGATTTGTCCGCCGTCGCCAAACTGACTGTCTGCAGGCCCTTTACCAACTGTTGTCCAGCCTTGAAAAGTGTGTCTACAAGCCTTTGCCTCGGTGCCTCACAGCGTTGTGCTATGTCGTCTACCCATGTGTGGAGGCTTGGCGTCGGAGGAGGGCATCTAGCCACTTCCTCACGCATGAAATAGAGCGCACACCTGCCTAGGTCCACAGCTCCTGTCGAGCCTGGGATGAGAGACATACTGGGTTGAATCGCTTCTGAAAAAAAAAAAAGAAAAAAAAAAAAAGCCTCCTTCTTCTCTCAAAAACCGAGGCGACATGCGCATCTGAAGTTCGAGCGCTAAGTAAATTGCTGGGAAACCTAATGCAAGCGCCTTGGAAAGTACCAGCTCCCACGACAAGGAATCGTAGAAGCCCTGTACGTCCCGCAGCAGGCTTGCGTGCACTAAATCTGGTACGACTGACTGTTCTGAAAGCTCGTCCTGAAAAGCTCTCCACACAGCTACCCTGAGTGCCGATGATCCAGCAACAGCTGTGCCCCAGTGACCTGCTCGCCTTTTGCACCACTCAGCTCGCTCAAAATGCCTGAGCCTGCCCCACAGGCGCGGGAGCCACGGCAGTAAGCCAATCGCTCTGTCGGCCTCACGCGTCTTGACCTGCAACATGACTAGGACTGTCATGAGCTGCCGTGGCCAGCAAGCTCTCGCCTCGACGGCGTTATAAAGATCTGTTAACTGCTGAATGGCTGCTGGCGGGAGAAAGGCAAAATCTTTTTTGTTGCACTGACCTATCCCGTTGGCACGACTTGGCACTTTAGCGATAACTTTCTGGACATGCTCTGGCTCTAGCGGTGGGAGTGGGTTCTGGATAGCCTGCCTCTGCGCTTCCCGCCAAAGAAGAACCGCCTCTGAGGTGCATTTGCGCCCAGCCCCCCACTTGGCGCCCCACGCCCCCTCCTTGAGTCCTATTCGGCTGATGGCGTCTGGCGCAGAGGCGGCTCCTGAACGAACCTCTCCTACAAAAACCTTCCTTGGCTTGATCATGTTGCACAGCCCCTTGCCTCCAGCAAGAGCCTGTTGCAGCACCCATTCTTTGAAACTCTGCTGATTCATGTATTGCAACGCTCTGTGTGCACGGGTCGCGTTATGCCTCGCCTTGAAACTGACATATGTAATTTCTCCATATGAGGCCTTGTCCAAGCGCCCCAGCCCCTCCTTCCAGATGCCCCAGAGGCGAGACGAGAGAGGCATGAGGGACGAGGTGGGAAGCTGGCTGGCTAGCTCTCGGACTCTGGCCAAACGAGAATCAAAACGAGGACCTTTTCTAGCTAGGCAACAGACTATTTCTTCCAAGAGGAACGCGACTGTAGCCCACCAATGGGCAACTGGGTCTGATGCAAAGATGAACGTCGCTCCTTGTGCCTCGGGCTTGAAAACTAGTGCTCGCGCCTGGCCCCGTCCTCGGTAGTCGTTCCGCTTGTGCGGTGGCACTGCGTGCGTAAGGATGAAAAACTCTTCCATGCGCGAGACCCATCTGGCGTACTCCACACCCGCCGTGAGGGAAGCCCTCCGATCTAACTGGAACGAAGGTGACTGCTCGATGTACTCTGGAGGCTGCAGATTATTTGTGGCATGGGGGCCTAGCTGCCTCCCGTGCCATAGTTGATCTAATTGGGCTGCTGACAGCTGATGGAGCAGGTGATTGAACCCTGCCGCCTCTGGCTGCACAGGGCTCGCCTGGGACTCTACACCGTCGCCCTCCTCCTCACCCCCGTCCAACCAGCAGTCATCACCCCCAAAATCCTCCTCCTCCAGATCGTCTGGGCATAAATACTCGAGCGTCGACGGGCTCTTGAAGGAAATATGTTCCTTGGTTGTCTTTGCTTCTGGGGGGCCTCGTGACTCCCCTTAACCTTCTTCTGTGATGTTTCAGCCGCTCGCCTCGAACGCTTGCTGTCTGGATTATTACCCCGCTTCTTTGGCGGTGGCTGCTGGAACGGTCTAGGCAAGCTCAGAACTCTGCGCAATGCCTCTGCCATGCATAATCCCATGCGGACGATTAGTCCGTAGTGGCTCTTCCCTGCTCCCGCGATGGGCTCAGTGTCAGCCACAACCTCGCTTATGAGGCGCTTCGCTGACGTTGAACATACTAAAAAACCCGGCATTCGACAAGGCGAGACTGCGCACGTGTACTCTACATTGTGGGCTACTCTGATGTCACCTGCTACTAAATGAGGCCATCCGCTTACCTGGAGCTCCTCTGGCTCACAGTTCCAATCGCCTATGACAAGCCACGGTGTACGAAGGGACTGCAGCAAAGAGCCTAGGCTGGCGAGCTTGCGGGCGTTCTCGCCTCGCAAACCCACCCCTGTGGTAAGATAGATTCCAAAGATGCTGAACGCCTGTCCTGATACTTTCGTCTGGAAACCTACAAAGTCATGAAAATCAACCCCGCTGGTGACAGGCTGCTGTCCCTTCTGGAGGTCCCGCATGCCCAGTGTGGCATTTGGCTCACTCGAGAGATGGCGAAACGACTCGAACTGAAAAGCTTTCCTGCAGCCTGCGGAAACTCCGCCTGGCCTTAGACTGCTCTCCGATGCACGGCTCGGAGTCAGCACTGGCGTATAACCTGCTTTCGCCCATACCTCAAGATGCCCATCTGCCTCGTCTGGACGCGTGCGTACTTCTGGTAGGACGTAGAAGTCATGCTCGCGCTTCTGCAGGAGGCGCTTGGCTGTGGGTCCGAACCTGGACAAGTTCCTCATGTACAGCGTGTGGTCTCTACTCTGAGCCTCGCTGCCGTCAAAGCGACTGCTGGACTCTCTGCCGCGCCCTCTGGATCTCTGCCTCCACCTCCTGCTGTAGGGCCTCTTTCTTGTCGGCCACCACTGGGGCGCTCTCGTCTCCAGCTGCTCTGGGCGGCTCAGCACTGCTTGGGGCACCGCCTGGCCCTCCTGCCCCCGCAGGCTGCTGGTCACCTGGGGCGGGGGCCTGGCCGCCCACATGCTGCTGAGGAGGGCCACGAGGAGGTGCAAAAACACCCGCACTGGGCTGCTCCTCGGTATTCCTCTTCTTCGTCCCTCTCGCGGCCACCTCGGCCATTTCCTTCTGGATATTCTCCAGGTCGGCGGTGAGGCCTCCCATCGCTTCCCTGATCGCCTTCTGGAGCAATGTGTTGACAGCCCCCGACCGCTCCTCCACGATCTTGCGGTCTGCCTCCTGGAGTTCCAACCCGTCGAGCAACTTGCCGAACGAGAACTGCAACTTGATGCCGTCACGGATGGCCGTGCCGACGTCGATGACTGGGCTCTGTTCATCGTCCTCTCTGTCGGGCAGGATGCGGCGGGCCGCCTCCACCTCATCCTGCTCAGCTGCCACCAGCTCCTCCGTGGCCTTCTCCAGAGCCATCTGCGCCTCATGGTATTCGTCCTTCGTGCGGATCCAGCGCTGGCGGGCCTTGTCCAGCGCCTTCGTAGCTTTGCCCACTCGTGAATGGCCCGCTGCAGGAGCGCCGCTGGGCGCTCTGGTGGCGGGGAAGGCTGCTTCGGCGCCAGCAGCTGCAGCAGCTCCTCCACCTTACGGCTGGTTTGTGGATCCTTTTCCTCGCCCGCCATGGCTCGGAGTGCAATCTCGAGGTAAGATGCCTGCGAGCGACCCGATGTTCCTCCAGCCCCGTTGCCTTGCTGGTGGTGCCGCCCTGTCCCCCAGGCGCTGGGGCTCCCCAGCCAAGCACCGCACAGGCAGGTGCTGTTGGCCGCCTGCAGCCTGTCCTCGAACAGGTATCGGGGGCACTGCGAACAGAACACCTTCTTCCTGAAAAGCTGGCGGCGACCCCAGGAGCTCGCGAGCCTCCATGGAGCCGTGTGCTGCTGCTGCACCCACGGCTGGCGACGATACTGCTCATCCGCCATGGCACGCGGGCGCCGTGTATGGAAAGATGCCGAAAAGAAGTCGTGATCGCTGGCACAAAAACTCGCGCCTCAATATCCTCACCTGGCCTGGCCGTGAGGTGTCACTGTTGGGGGCCGCTGACTTCCCCCACGCCAGTCTGGTCAAGTCCTGAGCCGAATGACTCCGGACTTGAGCCAAAATGGCTACGGATGTGTGTGTGTGCGTGTGCGTGTGCGTGTGCGTGTGCGTGTGCGTGTGCGTGTGCGTGTGCGTGTGCGTGTGCGTGTGCGTGTGCGTGTGCGTGTGCGTGTGCGTGTGCGTGTGCGTGTGCGTGTGCGTGTGCGTGTGCGTGTGCGTGTGCGTGTGCGTGTGCGTGTGCGTGTGCGTGTGCGTGTGCGTGTGCGTGTGCGTGTGCGTGTGCGTGTGCGTGTGCGTGTGCGTGTGCGTGTGCGTGTGCGTGTGCGTGTGCGTGTGCGTGTGTGTGTGTGTGTGTTCTATTGTTTTTTACAGGGGATGTTGGGGAGTGCCCTCCTGGCTCCTGGTTGGCTACCAGTCGCCTGGGGGAGGGGGTGATTATCAATAGGGACCAGTCATAACAAAAACAAAACATGTTTTGAGGGGGGGCCGCAACAGGAGCGCACGGCCCAGGGGGGAGGGGCACCTGCGCATGTCGTGCGGCGCCGACCACCCGAGCCTGCGACGAGGCTCTCTCTGCGGCGAGCACGGGGAGCGCCCTACTCCTGCGCGAGCCGCCCGCGTTTGCCCCCGCCTGCTTCGGGAGTGCCCACTCCTGCGCGCTCCTACAGTCAGCTCGGGCATGTGCCCCTACAGATGGACTTTGGACAAAAAATAATCGACAAATACTCCCGAAGTGGTCAAACATAGTCCAAAAATCGTCCCCAGACAATTTTTTCACTATCTGGGAATACTCCTCCTGTGGAGGGACAGGCCCGACTTAATCCTACAGCCGACAATATGATCCAGAAACTCGTCACCTAAGAAAACTGGGCCAGCTTCCCAGAAGTCTGATGAAACCCACCTGGGCCAGGTTCTGTTGTCAACGCTGGAGGGCGAACGTGCTCAAGAAACTGAGACAGCTTTCCAGCAAGTTGGCCAAAAAACGCTGGCCCATTTTTTCTGGAGGACGTTTCTGAATCAGAGGCTCGACCGTAGAAGAAGAAAAAACACATAAACATAAACTTGTGGCGCTCCGCGCGGACTTCTTGGATCGCGCCAGAGGCGGCGCCGGAGGCGCCGCCGGGGGGCACAGGCGCGGATCCAAGAAACCCCCGCGGGGCGCCAAAAGTTTATGTTTATGTGGTTATTAGTATTCGTCGTATTATTATTATTATCATCATCATCATTATTAGTATCATTACTACTACTACTACTACTACTACTACTACTACTACTACTACTACTACTACTACTACTACTACTACTACTACTACTACTACTACTACTACTACTACTTAGTATTATTACCCTTACTATTAGTATTATTATTAGTATTGTTATTATTATTAGTATTATTATTAGTTATTAGTAGTATTAGTTAGTAGTAGTAGTAGTAGTAGTAGTAGTAGTAGTAGTAGTAGTAGTAGTAGTAGTAGTAGTAGTAGTAGTAGTAGTAGTATTAATAAAAATAATATTACTATTCTTATTATCATTGATATTATTATTAGTCTCATTATTATTATTGTTCTTCGATATCCACCCTCTGTGCTCCCGCTGATTTGGGAGGGGGCAGGCGTAGCAAAACCAAGCACCGATCCGCCCACCGCGGCCCGCGGAACGGCCCAGGGGGAAGCGAGCTCCCGGCGAACGACTGACTCCGTGAGTTCTGACAGCCAACGTTCTGCCAGGAGGACCAGGGGCGAAGCCTTCGGGGGGAGTCCCTTGCGCCCGGGTGCATGAGGAGCGGCGCCAGGGGAAGAGCCGACCCACGGAAGGACCCAAGGCCCATCGAGCCCCTCACAAAGCCACGGCGGACATCACCCCGAAGTCTTGGCTCGGACGCCACGTTGCCATGACGTCGGCGCTGCTTCCTGATACCGCGGAGACCGTTCAACCTGGAACGATCGCCGCCCTGCCATAGCTCACGCCGTTCGGCATCGGCCGGTGACTGGCCACGGCGTTCTCCTCCTCCTCCTCCTCCTTCTCCTCCTACTCCTCCTCCTCCTCCTTCTCCTCCTCCTCCTCCTCCTCCTCCTCCTCCTCCTCCACCCTCCTCCCCTTGGATTCCCCCCTATCTTTTCCCACATCTTCAGGGTTCTCGCCTTCCCCCCCCCCTCCCCCCCAAGTTCCCATATCTTCCCATGTCTTCCTGGGAGTCGACGACTCATCGTGCCTGCGTGTTTCTTTCCCTCCCGGAAGGCCTCCCGCGCCCTCGTGGCTCGGCGCTCGCTGCGGTGCCCCCCCGCCGCCGGCTCCACCGACGCCTGGCCTGCTCGCTCGTGCGCCCGCGAAACCGCTCCACAGGAGGAGGGGGAGGAGGAGGAGGAGGAGGAGGAGGAGGAGGAGGAGGAGGAGGAGGAGGAGGAGCAGGGAGGAGGGAGGAGGGGGGAGGGGGGAGGAGGAGGAGGAGGAGGAGGAGGAGGAGGAGGAGGAGGAGGAGGAGGAGGAGGAGAAGTGCGGTGAGCAGGCGGCCGCGACTGCTGGATGCTTCCTCGGCGGCCTCCCAAAGCGGGCCCTCGGGCAGGCTTTCCCAGGGAGCCCACAAAAAAGGACGTGCGCGCCCAGCTATGCACATGAACACGGCCCCTCGATCTGCGAGACGGGCCGCGTCATACGAACAGTTACGCAATGCGTGCTCTCGAAACCAGCGTGGATTCATGTACATGTGCGTCCTTCTTTCGCTCCTGATTTCCCCCCCCCCCGAGCTAAGCTCCTGAAGTGCCTTTTTGCGGGGGGGCGGCGAGGGAGCCGCGGCGGGGGAGAGGGGAAGAGGGGGAGGGAGGAAGGCGGGCGGAGGGAGGAAGAAGCAGGATCGAGGGAGCGAAGGGGGGGGAAGGATGGAACAGGAGGAGGGCGGCGAGCAGGAGCCGAGGGAGGTGGAGAGGAGGACGAACACGAACAGGTAGGAGGTGGAAAAGAGGAGGCAGGAGAGAGGGCGGAGCAGAGGCGCGGAAAGAGAGGAGCTCCCGCCTGCGTGCCACGCGCGAGCCGCCACGCGGCGTTCGCCATGACGTGGCGACGTCTTAAAGTGAATCCAGTCGGAGGGAGCACGGTTGCCGACCGCTGCGGCGGCAACTCGTCGCGCTGTTCTCAGGAGGGGAAAAAACTCACAGACACAATTTGTCCTCGACTCCCAGGAAAACATGCGAAATTATGGGAAGTGGGGGGGGGAAGACAGAAACCCAAAAAGTATGGGAAAATATGGGGAATAATTCTATTTGCGTGTACTTATTTGTGTGTCCTGGGGCCCCTTCACGTTCGCTGTGCCACTGTTCAGGTCACTGGGCTGCCTCGTAGCCCCGGTCTGGCAACGCAGTCGCCGGAATCAAAACCCTGCGGCCCAGCGACGCAGTCGCCGGAACCGCCACCCTGGCCCTGGCGTTAGACGATAATGACCTCGCTCCTGGTGCACGCGGGCGCCAGTGGTGGTGCAGCTTCGCACGCTGCTCCCAGGTCGGCTCCGCCAGGCAGTTGAGCTTGCTGATCGCTGGAGTGGCGCGGCCCTCCCGGTCGCGCCGGTGCTCGCGGGCGCTGGCCAGCGCACGGGCGCGGCCGCATGTGCGGGTCTGCGAACCGGGAACCTGCGCTTGCTGAGCTCGTGCGCGCGCGCAGGGTGCTCGGGTTCCTTCTCCACGCGGCAGCCAGGGGATTCCCCGTGCATGTGGGGCGCTGCGAGGATGCCGGCACGCGGCCGTAGGTCTCTGGAGCGCATGGGCCGAGCCCGCGCGAGCGCTGCGCCTGCGCGCTCCGCGCGAGTGCGCAGCGCGTGCGCTCAGCGGCCATCGCGCCCCTGCTGCACATCAGAGCCCAGGACACGCGTCGGTTCGTAGTCTCCCAGTCGCCGACGTGCTCCTCCAGCTGCACCCTGTGCTTGCATGAAGTCGGGCATGTCCGCCTGCAGGGGGATTTTCGACGAGAGATAAAAAATACCCGAACAATGCTCCCAAATGGCCAAAGGATATGCAAAACATAGTCCCAGGCTACTTTTGTTGGACTATTCTTGAATGTCCCCCCTGTAGAGGGACAGGCCCGACGTGACACCTGCACCGCCGGTTGCAAAAATGGGCGCCCAGGTGATCGTGATGGAGGATGTGCCCTCGGACAACAACTTGGTCGCATCCCCGAAGTTGGCGGCGCGGATGACGTCGAAGTCGTGGTCTGTAGCGCTTCTGATGTGTCCCGTCATCTCGCTCGGACCCAGGCGGGACGACCTGGTCCTGCTGCCCGATTTTGCCAGGGCAGGTCGGCGGGGCCAGCCTTGTGGGCTTGCCCGTCCTCCTCCTAGTGAGGCAGCTCCTTGGAGTCTTCGGTACATATAGATAACGAAAGACCCTGAGGATGCTGAGTTGTCTCCTTTTCTCTGGATCGGGTCGTACCTGAGGTGAGTCGGGCCTGCATGCTCAAAGCTTTTGGATCCACGAAAAGTCGGAGGCAGGCTAGGTACGACCAGGATATCCGCATCGTCGATGACACGTTCCAGGGATGAGCAGGGCGATTCGTTGGCCATAGCTGCCTTGATCTCTCCGCGGCTGTCGGGGCCCACCACGCCGCCCACCACGTCGGTGCCTCTGAAGGCGAGTCCCGAACACGGGGCAACCCGCAAGCACGTGCCCCGAGGCGCGAGAGCGGCAACGCCCGCAGATATGCCAGTTCCCGACCACCTGCCGCGATGCTGGGAGACAGCCTGCGCCAGCGTGCAGGTCGCCGCCTGCTGCCTGCGGCTTGCCCCGCACGGGGTGCTTGCGCGCCGGGGCTCAGCAGCTGGACCTTTTGAGCTTCTTGAGCTCGCGGCCGCAGCCGGCGTCGTCGCCCCGGCGGCTGTTGCCCACTGCCAGCAGCGTGAGCTGCTTGGGCGGCTGCTCCCCGGGGTGCGGCCGGAGTCGTTCGAAGCTGTCGACGGGAAGGCACAGACAGGGCGGCGCGCTCGGGGCCGCCGCCGGCGCTCCCGAGCGCCGTCTCCCCCCGCGGAGGTCGGTGGTTCAAAGACGGGGTCCTGAGGGTGGGGTCCTAAGGATAGGAGGGGATCCCTGGGGGCTGCTTGGCGCACCTCGTCCGCCGGACCCCATCCCTCAGCTCGCCATCGCTCGGACGTCCATTCCCTGTGTTTTTTTTCGGTTTCGTGCGTGGTTTTTTCGCCGAATGATCAAGGATGCTCCTCGATGGTCCTCGCCGAAGGAAAAATGCACAAGTCCGAGCGATGCCAAGTCAGGACCCCATCTTTGAACCACCGAGGGGGGGGAGGGGGATCGGAGCCAGCAGGACGGGCGCCAGTGCCGCGCGAGAGAGCGGCGGGAGAGCGGCAGCCTTCCTGCACCGATCAGGATCCCCGCCTGCTGAGTGCACAGCGGGGTGCCGCTGCGGGGCGGCGGGGGGGGGTCGGGGGGCACCGATTCGCACCGAAGATTTGCTTGATCGAGAAATGGGCACACTGACGTCGACTGGGCATACAGTCGGGCTTGATTGGACGGGACACGCGAGAGGACACATGACCCTTCCGAGGGCCACATCGCCATAGGAGTGTAAGAAGGCACGTGTCGCGAGGCACAGGACCCAAGGGTACCCTTGAGCTGGCAGGGTCGACCTACTAATCCGGGCCGACTGTACACAATGCCCAGAGCAGCCGGCGGCCGCAGAACTCAGCATGAGGTTTCCATCGACACGGCGTGGCCATCGAGGAGCGAGCTCGCTCGGGTGGCCCCGAGCTCCCGAAGAGGACAGCTCCGCCGGCGTTCTGCCGGCTGGAGGAGGTTCAGAGATTCAGATCTATCGCGTAGCGAATCCTTATCAAAACATAAAAACCCACACTGCCAGGGCAGATGCAGTGTGTTGGGAGAGACCTAGTGCACCTCGGCCGCTCCAAACCTCAAACGGCCTAGGAGGGGAGGGGACGACTCAGAGGTGCACGTACACGTCCAACGCCTCCAGGACCGGCAGGGGGAGGAGGGAAGAGGCCGCAGGGAGGGTGGAGGAGGGAGGGTGATGAGGAGGGGGGCGCGAGGAGCGAGGAGGCAGGACGACGAGGAGGAGGGGGCGGAAGACGGGGCCGCAGCCCCCGCGGTCGCGACCCCCGCGCGATGGGGGCAGCCCGGGCCCCGGGCACTCTCACGGTGGACGCGCGCTCCGGCGGCGGCTGCCCCAGCAGGTGCCTGGGCGGCGCGGGCTCATCCTGTCCCCTGTCGTTGTATATGACCACCACCACCACCAAGATCGGGAAAAATCTAAGATCAGATCTGGTGCAGTTCAGCTTTGGTGGAACACCCGCAGCCCCCCTCCCGCCGCAAACGGCAACTGCGCTGCCCCCTCTCGCCTAAGGGCCGAAACAGAATTTCCCGAAACGCGCGGTCGCCGTCGTCGCCGTCCTTCTCCTCCTGCACCTCCACATCCTGCACCTTCTCTCTGTCTACGCTGGGCGAACTTCAGCCACGGAGCTGAAGCGTACCGCTCGCGAAGAAGAGTGCGCGAAGCCGAGCTCGGAAAAACGCGGACAAACTGGGCGAGGCCAGCGTAGAAAATCGAACGGACAGGGCAGAGAGACGAGCAAAAGTCTGTAGGCCGAAAGACTCGAAGCACACGCAAGCCTCGCGGCCGCGACCTCCTCCTGCTCCTCCTCCCGCTCCTCCTCCTCCTTTCTCCTCCTCCTCCTCGAGGGTGGCGCACCGCACGGAACCGCACGCGGCCCGCCTCGCTCGCGGGCGGACCGAGCGGGCGCTGTGGCGGGGCGGCGGCGCTGGTGCGCCAGCTTCAGAGACCACCAGCGGTCGCCGCAGCCCACGGCGGGGGTGGGCCTCGTCCCGCCGGCGTGGTCGCGGTGGTCGTCGCGTTGGTCGTTGCGGTGGTCGTCGGGGCGGTTGGTCGCCGCGGCCGTCCGCCCCGGCCCCCGTCGCCGCCCTGCATTCCTGTCCTCATACATGCCTTCTCCCTGTCGCACCCCGAGGCCAGTTTGCAGGGCGGGCCGGGCGTTTCGCCCGAGGCTTCCTCATAATCTATGACCCCGGAGCCGAAAAACATCAGCAGCAGCTTCACAGACGGAGGGCAGGCGGTCTCCCAAAGGTGGCTCTCGCCTCAGCGCCGCGCACATTCGTTTTAACAACATCCAGAGTTTCACGGGTTGAGGGCGGTTCCTTTTCAAAATATGGTTCTCGCCTTAGCGCCGCGCACATTCGTCTTAACAATTTGCAAGAGATTCACGGATTGAGGACGACCCGTTTTCAAAATGTGGCTCTCGCCTTAGCGCCGTGCAGATTCGTTTCTTATTTGAAAATGCAAGAGCTTCACGGATTGAGGGTGGCTCCTTTTCAAAATGTGACTCTCGCCTCAGCGCCGCGCACATTCTTTTAAACAAATTGCAAGAGTTCCACGGGTTCCCAGGACCAGCGTACCAGAAATTGTGTTTTGGAAGGATTCAGGATTATGAGGGTCAACAGTTACGTTGATTCGCGGCGTTGAAAATCCCAGGAATGGCGGTCTGGCAAGATTCCGGATCGTCTAGACTCAACAATCAGGTTGATCCGTGGCGTTGGAATCCCGAGAACACTGTTTTGGCATGCTTCAGGGTCTTCAAGCAGTTGTCTTCCAACGAGGCATGTCCCCCTGTGGAAATGAATCGCTGTAGGGACCTATCAAGGGGGGAGCTTGGAGGGAGGGTTTATTCCAACATCGTTGATGACTCTTGGGTGCACACAGGTCTTCCTCCTCCTCCTCCTCCTCCTCCTCCTCATCGGGCACGGCGTCGGGCACGGCAGCTCTCGACCGCAGCAAGTACTACGAGCACGTGTCGCACCAGATCCTGGCAAGGGCGCTGTACTGCGCCTACAGACGAGGCCGGCGAGCACAGACGGCAGGGTCCTCGTCCGTCATCGTGCGCGCCAACGGCACAGCCGCTGCCGGCTGCCGTCGCGCTCGCGGGCTCACGAAGCTGATGATTCACACCCTGCTGGTCGAACAGATTCACACGTAAGCACTTGTGAAAGCGCAGTCGCTGGTGGGCGACCAGCTGCTGCAGGCGATGGGCTCTGCGAGGCTCGCCAGCGAGCAGCTTCCAGGAGCACTACGTCTGCTAGTCGAGGGACTGGAGGAGCGCAAGCAGAAGGTCAACTGGGGCAAGACTGGCTGGCTCATTGAGCATCGTTCAACCGATCCCTGTTCCCACCGGCGTGGCCTGGGCCCCACTGGCCGATCTACCCCCCTAGATGGGGACATAGGCTGTTCCCTTCGGGCTTCGATGGGGTATGTCCCCAACTGGTGTGCTGAGATCGTCGGGCTTGGGATGGAGACGAAGATGGCGTCAGACAGGGGTCGGTTGGACGATACTGACTCACGGGAGACCTCGGGGGCGGCCAAGAGGGAGGCGTCCAAGAGGGCGGGGGGCGCCATGAAATCTGAGGAGATATCATGGCCCACGCCATGATGTCCACCCCCCCCTGGTCATCACCCCCTCTCTGCAGCCCCCAGGACTGACTACCTACCAGACCACCCCACCAACCCAACCCGAAGACCCGGATCTGACCCGCATTTCGGGTTGGGGGGGCACGGGTTCCATGTGTTTTTTCAATGTTCCCCGACCCCCCCCCCCTACTGGAAATGGAAGGCAAACTGAGGCAGGAGGAGGAGGAGGAGGAGGGGAGGAGGAGGAGAGATGGAAGAGGAGGAGGAGGAGGGGAGGAGGAGGAGGAGGAAAGGAGGAGGAGGAGGAGGAGGAGGAGGAGGGGGAGGAGGAGGAGGGGGAGGGGAGGAGAGGAGGAGGAGGAAGGAGGAGGAGGAGGAGGAGGAGAGGAGGAGGCCCGGAGGGAGCTCTCGAGAGCGCGCGCGGCCTCCGCTGCCCGGGCAGGGGCTGGCTCGGCAGGCGCGCGCTGCGCAGCGCCGCCGGCGGAGCGAGAGTGCTGGCTTCCAGAGAGCGAGCAGGTCGCGCGAGTGCGCACACTGGGCTGCTCCTCCTCTCCTCCTCCTCCTCCTCCTCCTCCTCCTCCTCCTCCTCCTCCTCCTTCCTCCTCTCCTCCCCTCCTCCTCCTCCTCCTCCATCCTCCTCCTCCTCCTCCTCCTCCTCTCCTCCTCCTCCTCCTCCTCCTCCTCCCTCCTCCTCCTCCTCCTCCTCCTCCTCCTCCTCCTCCTCCTCCTCCTCCTCCTCCTCCTCCTCCTCCTCCTCCTCCTCCTCCTCCTCCTCCTCCTCCTCCTCCTCCTCCTCCTCCTCCTCCTCCTCCTCCTCCTCCTCCTCGCAACGTCGCAATCGAGTCGAAGGGAGGCCCCTTACCTCTGCTCCCGTCCCCGCTGGAGGTGGGTCCCAGGGCTTGTTGGGGGAGCACCCCTCCCTAGGAGCAGCGCTCCCCGTCGATTCCTTGCCTCCCAGACGCCTCGGGCTCCCCCTTCGGGGTCGGCGGCGCTGGCCGTAAGGCCTTCACCATGCTCTTCCTCCCACGGCCACGCCAGTCTGCCGGGGCCGCAGCGCAGGGGCTGCGGACGGGGAACTCAAAGGTCCGAGGACTGCTGATCCAGAGTCCGACTGGCGGCTCCCCGTGGGAGCCAGCGCAGGCGGCTCAAGAGTGCGCATCCAGGTTTTTGGGGGGGCCCGCTGCTGACTCGCACGGGTGAGGTGGTCCATACCTGGGCGGCGTGTGTGTCCGGAGACTTGCTCTGCCGTCCGAAAGGGGTCCTGGAGTCCGTTCTCGAAGGGGCGCGCCGGGTTATTACGGGAGAAGTCCCCGTGGAACAGGTACGTCGACCCAGCTCATGCACTCTTGCTCGCCCTAGCTAGAGTTGGCGGAAGCATGGCCTCTGTCTCAAAGCTAGTTGGGTCAACTTGCGACGTAGATTTGTCGGGCGTTGGCAGAACTGGGTTTAGTAGAACCTGGTTTAGTGATGTGTACTGAGGGACGCCCCCCCGCCCCATTCCACCAACCGGAACTGCCGTCACCCGAAAAAACATCAGCTACGGCAGACCTGGTTTATAGTGATTCTGGCCGAGTCAAGGGCTCCGGGGCCCTACCACTATCTGGGTCCCCTTACCTGGGGTCCTGGCTATACCCAAATTTGATATTCCTTTCCCCATGGCGAGCAGTCACGGCCGTCAGAAGGATGGCTGCGAGTGCCTCGGTTCTTCTCGCCACACGAAGGTACAGCTGCTGGGCTTCTGAAACCCACTGGGCCTCCTTAAGCACGGTGCTCTTCGGCAAAGCTGAAGGTGGGTCCCACCAGGCAAGAACATCATCTAGCCTCCTGTCGGGCACTCACCGGCCACAAACCGGGCTCGCGAAGCACAACAATCGTTCTGATATGTGTTTGTCGAGTGGCTGTCCGGGCACCCTCTTCCACCGAGATTTCGACTGTCCTTGTGCCGACGGACTCAAACGAACTGACCTTCTGCCTTCGGTAAAGCAGGCTACCCCGAGGGTGGCTGAGATTGGATTGAGCAGGGACCGACCGTCCTGGCATTCCTATAGGCCTACCACGACATGTTCTTAGAACCCAAAAATGTTCTAAGAACATAAACAAGGTTACAAGGTTCTTGGAATATAAACCCGATGTTGAAACAAGACAGTCCCAGCCAGAAATGTTCTAGGAACATTTCGTGGAAACCACAGAAAAGGTTCTTAGAACATTCTTTGGTAGGCCTATAGACGAGCTGGGACGCTTCGCCACTGCTTGATTGGAGAGGGGAGGGCGAGCTTTTTTCGCCGGCTGCCCGTCCTCTAACCCCGAGCAGTGTTTCGGGCTCCCCGAGGCTCCCGAAGAGAATCCCACCAGCCCTTTGGGCGTGAGTGGTTTAGAGAGCTCTCTCTGTTCTCAACCCCCCTTCTTCCCCTTCGGGGAGGGGTTTACCCCTCCCCCTACCCCCTACCCCTGGGCCTGGAGAGGGCGTCCCGCGGGTCGTTGGAGGGGTCTTTTTCGACTCCTGGGAGGGCTAAAAAACGACACCCCTCACGAGGATTCTGGCCCCGACGGGGGGAGGCAGAAAAATGCTCCCCTCTTCTTGGAAGCCAAAATCATTGATTTTACTACGGTTTTGGCCCCATTTTGGCCTTCTGGGGGGGCAGCGCTAATTAAAGCTCCCCTCTTCTTGGAAGCCAAAATCATTGATTTTACCAAGGTTTTGGCCCCATTTTGGCCTTCTGAGGGGGCAGCGCTAGTTAAAGCTCCCCTCTTCTTTGATCGATTTCCTCCAAGATGGCCCCAAGAAGCGCCCAGGAGGCACCAAGAGGCCCCAAGATGGCCCCAAGAGGCCCCCAGGAGGCCCCCAAGAGGATCCCAAACGGCCCAAAGAGGCCCCCCCGAGGCACCCAAGACGCCGAAAAGCCCATCAGGACGACCCTCTACTCGCCTGGGCGTCGTTTCTGGACGGGCAGGAGGAGGGGCCCGAACGACTCACACCAGGACGAGGGGCCCGAACAACTCACACCACGAGAAGCCCGAACGACTCACACCAGGACGAAGAGCCCGAACGACTCACACCACGAAGAGCCCGAACGACTCACACCAGGAAGAAGGGCCCGAACGACTCACACCAGGACGAGAAGCCCGAACGACTCAAACCACGAGGAGCGCTTTCTCTCCCTCCTCCTCCGCCTCGTCCTTCTCCCGCTCCCACCACAAGGAGGATGTACAAGGAGGCGGGAGGAAGGAGGAACAGGGGAGATATGCGGGGGCAGGCGGAAACACGCCTGAAAAACACGACTGTCGGCATGCTTCGCTAGAGTTGCTGGTTTGAGATGGGCTGGTGGGGATACGCGAAGCGTGAAGAATTGGGCTCGCTTCGTGGGGGCCATGCCAGGATGGAGATGGGGACCGTACATGGACATTATATTCGAACCCTGTGGCCCAAGCCCCCCAGACCCCCCGAAATTAATGTTGATGGCGTGGCGACGGGGGGGCGTGAGTGGACAGAGCTATTCGAATCCCAAAACACCGCCTTTACTGAGATCGACATTGATGTCGGGGGCGCGGGGGTGATTTAGAATCCCCCTCGAATGTGCAAGGGTTCGAAGATATTGTCCATCTACTGGAGGACCCACCTCCATGGGCGGACCTGTCTGGCATGCCAAATATTCGGTGCCTGCAAGCGTTCAGGGCTGGGCGGTCGTCCAGCTTGATCGCTTGTTGGTGTGTGTGTGTTTGTGTGATTGTGTGTTTGTGTGATTGTGTGTTTGCGTGTTTCTGTACTTGTGTGTTTGTGCGTCTGTGTGTTTGTGTGTTTGTGTGTGTTGTGTGTGGTGTGTGTGATGTGTGTGTGTTTTGCGTGATGTGCGTGATGTGTGTGTGTGTGTGTGTTCGTGTGTGTGATGTGTGTGCGTTTGTGTGTGATGTGCGTGATGTGTGTGTGTGTGTTTGTGTGTTTGTGTGGTTGTGTGCGTTGCGTGTTTGTGTGTTTGTGTATTTCTGTGTTTGTGAATTTGTGTGTGTTGTGTGTTTGTGTGTGTTTGTGTGTGTGTTTGTGTGTTTGTGTGTTTCTGTGTTTGTGTGTTTGTGTGTTTGTGTGTTTGTGTGTGTTTGTGTGTTCGTGTGTTTGTGTTTGTGTGTGTGTTTGAGTGTGTGTGTGTTTGCGTGTTTGTGGTTGTGTGTTTGTGTTTGTATGTGATGTGTGCGTGTCTGTGTGATTGTGTGTGCGTGTGTGTGATGTGCGTGATGTGTGTGCTTGTGTGTTTGTGCGTTTGTGTGTTTGTGTGCATGTATGCTTGTGTCTTTGTGTGATGCGTGTGTGTGTGCTGATTGTGTAGTTGTGTAGTTGTGTGTTTGTGTGTTTGTGTGTTTGTGTGTTTGTGTGTTTGTGTGCGATGTGTGTTTGTGTGTTGTGTGTGCTTGTGTGTTTGTGTGTGACGTGTGTTTGTGTGTTTGTGTGTTTGTGTGTCTGTGTGTATGTGTGTTTGTGTGTATTTGTGTATTTGTGTGTATGTGTGTGTTTGTGTGTGCTTGTGTGCTTGTGTGCTTGTGTGCTTGTGTGCTTGTGCGTGTGCACGCGTGCACGTGTGCACGTGTGTGCGTGTGTGCGTGTGTGCGTGTGTGCGTGTCTGCGTGTGTGCGTGTGTGAGAGTGTGCGTGCGTGGGTGCGTGGGTGCGTGGGTGTGTGTGTGTTGTGTGTTGTGTGTGTTGTGTGTTGTGTATTGGGTGTGTGTTGTGTGTGGTGTGTGTGTGTGTGTGTGTTTGGGTGTGATTGTGTGCTTGTTCGTTCGTTCGTTCGTTTGTTTGTTTGCTTGCTTGTTTGTTTGTTTGTGGGTTTGTTTGTTTGTTTGTTTGTGCGTGCGTGCGTGCGTGCGTGCGTGCGCGTGCGTGCGTGCGTGCGTGCGTGTGTGTGCGCGTGTGTGTGTGTGCGTGTGTTTGTGTATGTGCGTGCGTGTGTGTGTGTGTGTGTGTGTGTGTGTGTGTTTGTGTGTGCGTGTGTGTGTGGTGTGTGTGTGTGCGTGTGTGCGCGTGTGTGTGTGTGAATGTGTGTGTGTCGCGCGGTGCGAATGTGCAGCATGGCCACAGGCCTGGGAACCCGCTCTCAATCCGCGAAACTGTTGCCAGCTTCGAAGCCTCAAGGTCATAAATGGTAAGGAGGTCTCAAGCGAAACGCCCAGCCAGCCCATTCGACCGGCCTCAGGGTGCGACGGGGAAGAACTAGTTATAACGGAAAGGAGTGGAGGAGGAGGAGGAGGAAGAGGAAGGGGAGGAGGAAAGGGAGGAGGACCGAGGAGGAGGAAGGGGAGGAGGACGACGACGACGACGAGCGAGGATGAGGAAGCGGGAGGAGGAGGAGGAGGAGGAGGAAACGAGGAGGAAACGAGGAGGAAGAGGAGGAGGGCCGAGGAGGAGGAGGAGGACCGAAAAACGCATCGAGGAGCAGCGAGGCCGCCGCGCGCCTCTGGCTGACGTGGCTCGTCGACGCCTTGCACTCGCTGGTGGCCTCCTGTGGGCGGGCCCTCGGCGGGCCCTCGGCGGGCCCTCGGCGGCCCTCGGCGGCCCTCGGCGGGCCCTCGGCGGGCCCTCGGCGGGCCCTCGGCGGGCCCTCGGCGGCCCTCGGCGGGCCCTCGGCGGCCGGGGCGGCCCTCGGAGGGCGGCCATGGGCAGCGGCGTGGAGACAAGTCGTCGTCGTCGTCGCCGCCGCCGCCGCCGTCGGCGCTGCCGTCGTCGTCGCCGTCGTAAAAGGAAGCGGAGGAGGAGGAGGAGGAGGAGGAGCAGGAAGAGTTGGAGGAGGGAGGAAGAAGGGGATGATGATGATGAGGAGGAGGAGGAGAAGGAGGAGGAGGAGGAGGAGAAAAACAAGAAGAAAAAAAGGACGTTCAAGGATCCATGATCGAACTGCGAGAAACGTAGGTCTTTGAGATCGCAAGCCTTCAAGCGTTTTAATTCACCTCTTGTGGGGACTTCCTGAAAATTAAACTGGGTCGATTACGGCAAACGCGACCGACCTGGAATCTCCCAAAAAATCTTCCCGCGAATTCCCGCGAATCTCCAATTTCCGAAAATATTCCGGCGAATCTTCAACAAATCTTCGCGCCTTGGAAATCTCGTGGCGAATATCAAAAAACGTCGCGCCTTATAAATATGCTGGCGAATATCCAACAAGTATTTGCGCCTTAAAATCTCCAACAACACCTCCGCTAAAGATGTTCCTGGTATTCACGCACGCCCACGATTTTCCGAACATTTGCCAGAAATGTTAGACCGAATTCCAGAAATTGCCTGAGATTTCTGCCCAGTGGAAATTGCGTGGAGACCTCCATGGAGACGAGTAAGGCCCGGAAACGCTATGGGGATTTCCCCCATGATTTAAGACCCCCGAGATTTCTGGAAATTTTGGGAATGCCCAAATACAATTTGGAGATTTCCCTTGAAATGTCCCGTAGATGTTTCATCCAGAAGGTCCTGGTCGCGTTTGTCATACTGACCCAGACCAAGCCTCCTGGAGCCTTCTAGTCGGCACGGCTGGATCGGATCCAGCCGTGCCGACGGCTGACATGTTCTGGCCAGAATTGCAAGGTGGATCCAGTGGATTCACCTTGCGACTCTGGGCAAAACGGTGCAGGAGATGTTCCGGGGCGAATTTCAGGGAGAAGGCGGGGGAAGAGGAGTATTTCGTACTCCGCGGGCCGCGAGCGCCTCTCCTCCGAAGCCGAAGCTAGGCTGAGACACGCGCGGGCGAGGAAAGGAAGAGGGAGGAGGACTGGCAGCCGCTCAGCCGCGGTTGCCACCTGGGGACCCAGGAGGGGCCACCCCCAGGAATAAAAGCGCCTCGACGATGCACCCGACTGGGGTCTCAAGAGGAACCACCCCCAGCAATACATGCACGCCGAGGCCATCCTCGAAGAGGGAGGCCTTACCATGAAAACCACAGCAGCCTCCAAAAGACCAAAATCCTCTGAAAAGGAAAAGTAGCAGCTGGATGAAAGTGAGAAGCTGCTGGTACTGGGCGTCTTGCTAGTAATCGTGACACGTCCCGTCGGGAGAATGCCACGCGCCAGCTTGCCCAAATTCTGATATCCGTAATGTCCAAGATGTCGGCCACACTCATCCGCAAGTCCTCTCAAGACGTGCTTGCCGACACTCCCGCACTTCAGGCGCGCGTGGATCTGCAGACCACTGAAGTAACCCAGCAAATGAGATACGTGTACCGGTACTCCTCGCACCAACACTCCCAACGTCTCCAATTCGCGGAATACTGCCCTTGACTACACCGCCCAAACAAGGCGTCTCCAAAAACTTCTCCAACTTCCGTCCACTAGCACTGCAACCACACGCAGAACAACGGAAGGCCGTTCCCATACCAGTGTAAACCTGGTGCTCCGACATCGTGACCTTGCGCCGAAAACGGCCTGCCATCGAACGTGTTGGGCGCAGCCTCTTCGGCTGCGCCTCCGCTGCTGCCAAGAAGGCCTTGGCCAGATAATTCCGCGCTGCTCTGCCGATCGCCTCAGCGTGCTCCACTGCCGCCACTACCGCATTTGGAACTGCACACTTCTCAGCCCAAAAGCCTGCCGCTTCATCAGCCATAGCATTGGCCAGGTAGTGCCCCACCATGGTGTCAGCGTTCGCAGCCTCTTCCACTGACATGTGGCTCTCGATTTTGACCACATTGAGCAGTGACGGGTGTGGCATCAGCACCTGCTTCAGCTTTAGCCAGAGGTCCAAGTTGGCCGTCGGAAGCCGACCTGCGTAGAGCTTGGCTAACCCTTCACCACGCATCCCAAGTCAGTGACAAAGGTGATGGGCACGCCAAGCCCCAAGAGATCCTCCACCGCCCTGAGCAGAGCCGTCGTCTCACCCCTGTTGATGGTTTACTTCATGGGAATGCCGCCACCTCGGGAATACAACAGCTTGACTTCCAAAGCAGGTTCGCGGAGGACCTGGATAACTTGGCTTGAAAATCCACCTTGTGGCCCATAACCTCGTCGAACGGTGTGTCAGTCGGCTCGCCCACTTGCGTCCAAGACGAAGGCAAGATCCCTCGAAGCCAAAAGCAAGGTAGCTCTTCATAATCGTCATGAGCACGTCGGATAAATGACTGTGAGATGGTAGAAAAGAGCCCATTGCAAGAACAGGACCAGCTGCGCGGCTGCGGTCGTGGTGCAACTCATCAGGCCCACCGCCGGCTTTGAACAGAAGGGGAAGGGGGAGGCGTTGACAGATGAATGTGGCATAAGTGTTCGCTATTTTTCCGAGGCCTGTATCCAGGGGGTGTCTTGACCCATCCCCCCAGGCGTTGGAGCGTCCAAGATGGCCCAATACCGCTCCAAGAGGGCCCCCGAGAGTCCCAGATGAGCTCCAAGATGGCTCAGGATAGCGCACGATGCCTCAAGATGGCCCCCAAGATGCTCCAAGAGGCCCCAAGAGCGTTCCAAGACGGCTCCAAGAGGCCTCCGAGACCACCAAGGAGGCCCCCGTGAAGCCAACATCCTTCAGCAACCTAAGAAAAATCAATGAGTTTTGCTTTCTCGCCGTTTCGCTTCCGATGGCCATCCGAGACCTCAAGATGGCTCCAAGATGGGCCAAGAGGGCCCCAGGATAGACCCAAGAGAGCCCCAAGATGGCTCCAAGAACGCCCGAGAACACTCCAAGACAAGAGCGCCCCAAGAGAGACTCAAGAGGCGACTTTTGGGGCTCCCCAGATGTGGGGGGGAATTAAGGGGCCCCCTCTTCTTTGATCGACCTCCTCCAAGATGGCCCCCAAAAAGCGTTCCCAAGGCTCCCAAAGCGGCCCAAGATGACCCGAAAAGGCACCCAGACGGCTCCAAGAGGCGCCCAATATAATATGCCTCCAAGAGGCTCCCAAGAGGCCCCCAAGAGGCTTCAACAGGATCCCCGAGGCACCCAAGACGCTCAAAGACGGCCCTGGACTCGCCAAGATGCCCCTTCTCCTCCTCCTCCTCCTCCTCCTCCTCCTTCTCCTCCTCCTCCTCCTTGTCCAATGTCTCTTCCTCCTGCCTCCTCTTCACCCTCATCCTTCTCCTCCTCCTTCTCCTCCATCAGCCTCCCCCTCTTGGCGTATCGGACGGCTTCCCTCGCCCTTTGTTCTTCTGCATGCTCCCCCACTTCCCTGAACACCTCAACTCCCCTGGGCATCGTTTCTGGATGGGCTGGTGGGGGGACTTTTTTGTTCGCGAGCGCAAACGGATGGGCCGCGCGCCGTCCAAAGCTACCACTAACAAGCAGGAGCCTAAATTGTACACGAGAGAAAGGAAAAGAGAGACAACAAGAGACCAGCGGGAGGTGAGACTAGCCGGGGCTGGTGGGGGCACTTTTTAGTCAGCGGCCGCGGGCGAGCGCGCCAGCGGCGAGTCAGGTCCAAGCGGGCTATGCAGAGACTAATTAGCCGGAGGCGACGCGCAAGGCAACAGCTACGCGCCGGCCGAGGCCTCACGTAGCGGCCCAACGGCAGGTGGATGGCTGGGGGGACTGAAACTGAGTGGAACTGCCAGCGTGCAAAGATGCAAGTCCGTCGGAGGCGCCAAAAGTCGGAATATAAAAGCCGGCCAGGGACAAATCCGAGAGAGAATGCATGATACGGAACCTCAAGCGGCTGCGTGGGCACCAGGGTGGCCGTGGCCAACGAACCGCGAGTCGAGGTAGGAATGAGAAATGCACAGGCGAGGCCACGGACGTCGGCGTGGGCGGGCTGGTGGGGGTACGCGAAGCGTCAACAATATGTATTCAATTTGGGATGTTGTTTCCTGGTGTTGGCCATACGTTGCACACGGGTTGCCCTGGAAATATATTTCCACAGCTCATGTCGACTCCCAAATTAGAAAGTAGGTGGTCGCATTGCAACATGGTCCCTCGCCTCCGCAGCTCCTCAACGATGGCTCGAGCGCATTGCATGGACGAAACTTTCATCATTTGTCAGCCAATCGAAGGTGCCCATCAACAAAATGGTGCGTCGCGGTGACACCCTCGATGAGAGCGTGTCTCTGACGTGTACATTAGATCCAACCGGTGTATGGGATAAGTCATCTGTCCACAACTTCTCTGAGTGGCTCGGATGTGCAACTGCCAACCGCTCAATGACCAGGTTGGTACAGCACCGAGCAAGCCACGTGCCTGGCCGTTGGCTTTGGATACTGCGACGTGTTGTTTGAAAAGGTCGTGACACAGCGTCGCGCTGGTCAAGCATGCGCGGGCATGCACAAATCTGCAATTCCAAACGGAGGAGGAACGACACTGGCCAGCAAAGGAAGGGCAGACAATGGAGACGATCCGAGCAGAGGAGGAGATGTTAGACCCCCAAACAGTGAGGCCTTGCAGTCTATACGTTCACTGTATAGGCGACGAATTGCAACCTAGAAGAAAAAACAACAAATGAGAGGAAATCCCCTGCCCTTCTAGAGGGCTACCAAGATAACGCGCAGAGAGGCCAGCCACGAGGAGAAGGGGGAGGAGAGAGGAGGAAGAGGGAGGACAGAGGAAGGAGGAGAACGCAGGAGGCCGTCCTCTATCGACAGGGAGTGCCCCTCGGTGCCGAGGACGCCGCCCATCCTCGAGTAGCCCAGCTGGCCGAAGCCGTGCATGTCGAGGTTCAGGGCCTCGGGGCGTCGTTCGCTTTGCTCCTGCTGTCCGCGGTGGTGTGGCATCATCAGCATCATCACCATCACCATCACCATCAGCAACATCATCATCAGTGCCGTCGTCATCGTCGTCGTCATCATCAGTAGCATTCTCAAGATCATCAGCATCATCACCACCACCATCATCATCACCATCATCAGCAGCATCGTCATCATCATCATCACCACCAGCATCATCATCATCATCACCATCAGCATCAGCATTGTCAACATGAGCATTATCAACATCATCATCATCATCATCATCATCATCATCATCATCATCATCATCATCATCATCATCATCAACAACAACATCATCGCCATCAGCACCATCATCATGATCATCATCGTTTTTAATGCATATAAAAATAAGCATCGTCATCACCAGCAGCAGCACCAGCGTCGTCGCCATCGCCGTCGTCCTCCTCACCATCATCATCATCAACAACATCATCGTCATCGTCGTCACCGTCCTCATCAGCAGCAGCAACATCCGCGCCGTCCCACGCCCCCCAAAAATGGACAAGCCTGATTTTAGATCCGCATATGACGTCACTCCGCCGGACCCCTTAGACACCCTCGAACATGGCGATCGTTTCGCACATCGCAGCCCGCGCAACAATGGCGAGTTGTACTTGAAGTCCGCGTAAGACATCACTCCGCTGGACCCCGTGGCAACCCTCGAATGTGGCGACAAGATCGCAGATCGCAGCCCCGCCAAGGGGTGGCGAGGTTTAGTATAGGTCCGCGTCAAGCGTCACTCCGCTGGGACCCCCAGCAACCCTCGAAAGTGGCGACGACTTCGCAAGTCGCAGCACCCGAGGGACGGCGACGTTTAATTTTAATCCGCGTGGGACGGCGCCACGATGGACGCCCAGCAGCTCTCGAAAATGGCGACAGCTTCGCAGACCGCAGCCCCGCACAGATGGCGAGCCCTGATATAAGTCCGCGCGGGACGTCACTCCGCTGGGCCCCCCAGCAGACCTCGCAACTGGCGACGGCTTCGCATATCGCAGTCCCCCAAGGATGGCGCAGTCTAATTTAGGTCCGCGTGGGACGGCACCCCGTTGGACCCCCTAACAGCTCTCGACAGTGGACACAATTTTGCAAATCGCGGCCACGCACGGATGGCGAGGTCTAATGTATGTCCGCGTGGGGCGTCGCTCCACTTGACCCCCAACTGGCAAACCCTTTCGCAGATCGCAACCCCGCAGGGAGCCCCGAGGCAGGACGGCGAGGTAAGGCAGGAGGCATGGTAGCAGGCAGGCGGGAGGAGTGAGGCGGGAGGCGGGAGGAGGAGACGCGCGCAGCGCTCCATTCATTACCCTGCGAAACACCCAACCCATCTGCATCAAGTGGCCAGAGACGTTGGCCCCAATATGCGTGGACAACCAACCACAGAGGAGGCGCAGTCAACTGTTACGGAAGCTACACCCGACGCCCGCACGTTGCCCGACTCACAGGACAGCGAGAAAGAGCGAAGAGCGAAGGCCCGAACTTGAAGAAGAAGGGGGGCGGGAACGAGCGGCAGGAGAAGGACGGGCAAAGGGGGCCCAAAAAGCCAGCGCGGCACCAGCAGGGAGACGGTGGAACGGGGGAAGGGGAAGACGACGAGAGAGGCGGGATGAGAAAGGATGGTGGCGCTTTGCCGGGCGGCGTGCTGGACAAGCGGCGCTGCGCGCGCCACGCGTCGCCTCGGCGCTCCACAAAAAAACCGCCGCCCATACCCAGAGCAGGGAGCGAGCGGGGCCCAGCTCGCCCGCCAGTTTCTCGGCCTCCCTCCCGCGCCCTTGAACGCGGGAGCGAACTCCTCCTCGTCCTCCTCCTCCTCCTCCTCCTCCTCCTCCTCCTCCTGCTCCTCCTCCTCCTCCTCCTCCTTTCCTCCTCCTCCTCCTCCTCCTCCTCCGCCTCCTCCTCCTCCTCCTCAGCCTCCTCCTCCTCTTAAACGCCCGCGGGCGGCCCGCGGGAAAGGCAACCCAGGCCGGGGCCGCGCATCATGAGCAGGCTGGCCACCGTCGCCCCGGAGAGCCTCGCGCAGGAGATGCAGCCACGGGGCGCCCGGGTCCTCCGCGCGCCTCCGCGCCCAGCGGCGGCCAGGACTCCGCGCGGTGCGCGGCCGAGCCGCGGCAGGCCGTGGGCGCCAGCGCGCTGGACCCCCCGCAGCCCTCGTCTGTGGCGACTGGCTCCCGCGCCCACCACGAGGGCAGGAGCAGGAGCAGGAAGCGCTGCGGGGAAGGTCCCGCGCCCGTGCCTAGGAGGGCGTCGTGCCCAGGAAGGTCCCGCGCCCGTGCCCACCGCAGGTGGCGAGGTCGAGTGCAGAGGTCTGCGTGCGACGTCACTCTGCTGGACCCCGGCAGCAGCCTTCGAGAGTGGCGACCATGCTGCAGATCGCAGCCCCCCAAGGATGGCGAGGACGAAAGTACGCCCGCGTGAAACGCCACTCCGCTGGATTTCCCCAACAGCCCTCGAGCGCGGCGACAATTTCGCAAATCGCAGCGCCCCAGGGATGGCGAGGTCTAGTGTAGGTCCGCGTGGGACGGCACTCTGCCAGACCCTCTAGAAGTAATCGAAAATGGCGACAGTCTCGCAGACCGCAGCCCCGCCCAGGGATGACGAGGTCGAATGTAGGTCCGCGTAAAGCGCCACTGTGATGGACCCAGTGGCACCCCTCGAAAGTGGCGGCAATTTCGCAAACCGCAGCCCCTCAGGGACGGCGAGGTCAAATGTAGGGTTGCGTAAGACGTCGCTCCGCTGGACCTCCCAGCAGTCCTCGAAAATGGCGAAAGCTTCGCAATTCGCCGCCCCCCAGGAATGGCGCGGTCAAAGATGTGTCGGCGTAAGACGTCGCTCCGCTGGACCCACCAGCAGCCCTCGAAAAGGGCGAAAGCTTCGCAATTCGCCGCCCCCCAGGAATGGCGAGGTCAAGTTCAAGTCCGCCGTCAAATTCAAGTCCGACTAAGACGCCGCCCCGCTGGCCCTCCCCCAGCAGCCCAGCAGCCCTCGAAAATGGCGGCAGCTCCGCAGATCGCAGCCCCGCCCGGGGATGGCGAGGTTGAATCTAAAACCGCGCATGACGTCACTCCGCGGGGCCGCTCAGCAGCCCTCGAAAGCCGCGACAGCTTCGCAGGCGGCAGCCCCGCCAAGGGGTTGGCGAGGTCGAACTGAGGTCCGCGTGAGACGCCACTCCGCTGGACGCCCCAGCAGCCCTGGAACGTAGCGACGACTTCGCACGTCGCAATCCCCCAGGGATGGCGAGGTCTGGTTTAGATCCGCGCGAGGCGTCGCTCCGCTGGACCCTCCAGCAGCCCGAACGCACCGACCGCTTCGCACGTCGCAGGACCCCCCCCCCACCGGATAGCGAGGTCGAATTCATACCCGCGTGCGACGTCACTCGCTGGTCCGGAGGACCCCTGAGGCCTGGGTCTCGAGTGTCTGGTAGGAATCAGCGAGCATAGGCGAAAAACACGAACAACACAGATTGGAACCACGTGCACTTTTGAAACTTTATAGCCTGGAATCGCGCGTGCTTCTCCAAGCAGACGAGGACGGACGCGACAGCTTCCAGGCACGATGCTTGCGAGACAGACGCGAAAGGTTGTCCGGCCACGCGCCCAAAGTCATCAACGACTTGGAGCGTGCGGCAAAGGGGCCAGACTCCACGGCTGTCTTCGGACGCCCTCAGAAAAAAAACAAAAACAAAAAAAACTTCCCTTCTGTGGGACACTGACCCGGGATAGCAACGATAGGCTGTGGAAGGGAATGGAGTGCCACAGTGGGCGGCTTCCTGCAGCAATGCCAGGATCCTGGGCAAGCGGCGGTCTCGAGGGCGCCCTCTTTGACAGTGGGCATCGCATCTGCAGTCACCTGCTACGGAGACGGCCAACGGCGAGACCCACGGGCTCCAGCACCTAGCACAGCACGTTCCCGAGTGGAGAGCGGCTGCCGCAGGGCACCGTGGGAACGTGATGGCTGGCCTCGCCTCGCGGCCCCCCCTTTGGGGTCGTGGGTCGCGTGGGCGACTCGGGCCGTGGGCCCGCCTTGGGGTCAGGAGGGGGAGATCAGGACGAGGGGTGCGCGGTGAAGATCAAGATGAGCATGGGCAGGGGGGAGGGAGGCGGAGGAGGTGTCACCTCGTCCACCGCTCCCTCCACCGCCGCCAAACGACGAGCAGTAGCAACCAAAGGCCCAGAAACTGAGCCTGTCGAGAGAATGATCGCGGCTTTCACCAAGCAAGCGTTCAAACGACGATGTACCATGATATTGCCTCCAAGCAGCATTCACAGATAAGAACAGGCATCGAGCGCAGAAATCCTTAAATGAACAACTGGGTGCAAGCATTCCTCATCGTCTGGATGGTTACGCATGACACGAATGGTGCAAAGATAGAAATGTTGTCGGCTACCGTGTACGCAATCACGGTCCAGTGACCAACTCTGGCTTGGCAGGTTGGGCGCGTAAACAAGACGGCGCGACCCGAACGCGTGTTGCAGCCTGGGTCGTTGTAGCGGCCAGCGCCGCAACACCACGGGGTTGGTGGAGCGCGCCCTGCCCACACCGAGCCCCCGCCGAGATGCGGAGAGCGGGAAGTGTTGCGAAGTAGCCACCGAGCCAGAGCCCGTAATAGAAGATCCTCCTCCTCCTCCTCCACCTCCTCCTCCCCCGCTGCGCTGATCCGACGCCGACTCCAAGCACGTGGTGTAAACGCGTCGTGTCTGTCTCGTGTGGCCCGGGCCCTCGCCCCAGCCGGCCAAGAGCCCGGCGTGCTGGTCTCGAGGGTGCGGGCGTTCTTGCTCGAGCTGCCCGTCCCCTGCCGTTAGCAAGTTTGGGCAACAGGATTGCACTCGACTCGATTCCCTCTGGTCGCGGATTGAGGCACCGTGGCCCACGTAACTGGTGCTGCGCTGCCAGCATCTTGCACAACAAGCATCATCATCATCATCATCATCATCATCATCATCATCATCATCATCATCATCATCATCATCATCATCATCATCATCACCATCACCATCATCATCATCACCACCATCGTCAGCAGCAGCAACACCATTCAGTGTCATCGCCAGCAGCAATAGCACCATCATCGTCATCAGACGTGTGAGCCATCCGCGGTCCCATCCTCATCGCCATCGCCACCATCGCCGTCAGCATCCTCCCCCTCGTCATCTGCAACTCTGCAACAACATCATGATATACAGTGAAAACGTATAGTAAGGACGCGTGGTAAGGACGCAAGACCCTTGGAGGCCGAAGTTGAAGTATTCTGGGCGGCAGGCGGCCAAACCCCCAGGGAACCTGAAACACTGGCCTGCGAAAATTGCTAGGGACGGGCCGCAGAGGCTGAGGCAGGCAAGGACCCAAGGGCACCCTGGAAAAAGCCGTTTGTCCTTACTATGCGCGTTGACTGTAATACATGCGCCTGCCCGCCGCCACTTCCGTCTCCGGGTGGGTCCCCCCTGCTGTGCTGCCTGGTGCGACGCCTGCGAGATGGTGAGCTTCGCCGTCCTGTTTCCTGGGCAGGGGGCAGGTCGGAAGGGGCAGCACGGGAAGTGCAGGAGGAGGGGGGAGAGAAAGAACAGGAGGAGGAGGAGGAGGAGGAGGAGGAAGAGGAGCAGGAGATGGAGGAGGAGGAGGAGAAGAGAAACGCTTGTTTTCTCGTATCGTTGACGTGCGCATGTGTCGATGGAAGTGGCATGTCATACTGGCGATGGCCTACCACGGTGCTTCCTATCACGACACACGAAATATGGTGTGTTACACGAAGAGTTACACCACATACGCTTCCCACATACCTACCGTTACCACGCTCAATAGGCAACCATTCTCACACGCCTGAATAAATACAACATACGGCACCAAAAGACGATGGCCCTACATTTAAACAGTCTGGACATGATGTGACAAATCTCCCGGGTACAATACGTGCTACATAGGAGATGCATTCCATGTACCAACAGAACAGAAGGCAAGAGGAGGAACAAGATTCACCATAGCACGGTTTCAATTACGTTGACCAAACAAAGAGCCAAAGGCCTAGAATCTTCAATCCTGAGGACTCTTGAAGGGGCCCGGATCACTAGCTCCCAAATGTTATTGGGCTCCCAGCGTCCCCTCCCGCGGCATATTCCAACATGATGTGTTCGGAGCCAAGAGAGGGCGGAGAAAGAGAACGCAGCAGCGAGATAACGAAAGAAGCAACATTAAGAGGCCAAGGACGTCCTTCACCCAGGGAGAGCTCCAGGCTTTGGGCCTCCATTCGCTGACCGAACTGCTCCCTCCACACCTCAGTGAATCTGAAAGACCGCGACATGCGTCAATCTTACTATGATTATGCTATGACTGGTGGCAAGTATGTTATGCTGATTATGCTGATGTATGTTGATGTTACTACTAATAATATTCTGGTACCGGAGAACAGCCCTAGCCATAATCTTTTTAGACGTATAGGGCTATGGGGCTATAGGCCTATAAGGCCACAGGGCTACAAGGCTATGGGGCTACAGGGCTGCAGAGCTATAGGGCTACAGGACTGTAGGGCTATAGGGCTACAAGGCTTTAAGGCTATAGTGCTATAGGGCTATCGGGCCATAGGCCCATAGGGCTATTAGGGCTATAGGGCTACAGGAATATAGGGCCATAGGGCTGTAGGGCCATAGGGCTATAAGGCTACAAGGCTATAGGACTACCAGGCACCCAGGCACCCGGGCCCGGCGAAATCGGCACCATACCTCACCTAACCATATGAATCCGATCGGACCGCTACAAATGCAAACTCCGATGGGGGAAATACTAACACTAGCGTTAGCATTCGAAATGATATTCTCCTTATTCTCAATTGCATTATTATTGCTATTATTCTACCTAGTACTCTTCCTCCTCCTCATCATTATCATCCTCCTCCGCATCCTCCTCCTCCTCCTTTACCTCCTCCTCCTCCTCCTCCTCCTCCCCTCCTCCTCCTCCTCCTCACCATCATCACCCTCCTCCGCCTTCGCCTCCGCCTCCTCCTCCTCCTCTTCCTCCTCGTCCTCCTCTTCCTCATGTTCCTCCTCCTCCTCCTCTTTCTCCTGTTCCTCCTGCTCCTCCTCCCTTCTCCTCCTCCTCCTCCTCCTCCTCCTCTTTTTCTCCTCCTCTTCCTCTCCTCCTCCTGCTTCTCCCTCCTCCTCCACCCCCTCCTCCCCTCCTCCCTTCCTCCTCCTCCTCCTCCTCCTCCTCCTCCTCCTCCTCCTCCTCCTCCTCCTCCTCCTCCTCCTCCTCCTCCTCCCCCATGAGAGGGGCGGCGGAGGGGGCGTCCTTCCTGGACGCGCTCCTCCACCAATGGCCGCCCCCCCCCCCCTCCCCTTGGACACGCAGCTCGTTCCATCGGACGGAGACAACGACGACGACGACGACGACGATGACGACGACGACGACGACGACGACGACGACGACGACGACGACGACGACGACGACGACGGCGGCGGCGTCGACGACGGCGGCGGTGGCTGCGGCGGCTGCGCGGTTCGTGCGCTGAGCCCCGCGCGAAGGAGACCACCAGGCGGCCGACGACAGCGACCTGGCGATTGGAGTCGCTGCGCGTGAAAGACCTGCGCAGGAGGTAGGGTGGTGGGCTGGACGTCCCGCAGACCCTCCTCCGCCTCCAGCTCCTCTCCCTCTTCATCCTCCTCCACCTCCTCCGCTTATTCCTCCTCTTCCTCCTCCTCCTCCTCCTCCTCCTCCGCCTCCTCCTCCTCCTCCTCCTCTCCTCCTCACCATCATAATCCTCCTTCTACTCCTACTCCTACTCTACTCCTCCTTCTCCTTATCCCCTCCCCCTCCTCCACCACCTCCTCTTCTTCCGCCTCCTCCTCATTCGCCCTTCCCTCCCCTCCTCCTCCTCCTCCTCCTGCCTCTCCTCCGCCTCCTCCTACTCCGCCTCCTCCTCCTCCTCCTCATCCTCCTCGTCTTCCTCCTCGCCTCCTCCCCCTCGTTCACCTCCTCCTCCTCCTCCATCCCCCCCCCCCCCCCCGCCTTTTCCCTCCTCCTCCCTCCTCATCCTCCTCCTCCTCCTCCGCCTCCTCCTCCTGCTCCTCCTTCTCATCCTCGTCTTCCGCCTCCTCCTCCTCCTCTTCTCCCTCCTCCTCCTCTCCTCCTTCCTCCTCCTCCTCCTCCTCCTCCTCCTCCTCCTCCTCCTCCTCATCCTCCCCTCCTCCTCCTCCTGCTCCTCCTTCTCCTACTAACGCCGCGCCTCCTCCTCCTCCTCCTCCTCCTCTCCTCCTGCTCCTCCTCCTCCTCACTCCTCGCTCCCTCCTCCTCATCCCCTCCCGCTCGTTCCTCCTCCTCTTCTCCTCCTCTTCCTCCTCCTCCTCCTCCTCCTCCTCCTCATCCTCGCCCGCCCGCCGCGCCCGCTCGCCCTCCCTCCCTCCTCCCTCCCTCCCTCCCTCCCTCCTCCTCCTCCTCATCTTCCTCCTCCTCCTCCCCATCATCATCCCCATCCTCAATTCCTTTTCCGTGTACCTAGCGTTTCCCTGTCGCACCCCGAGGCCAGCTTTTAGGAGGGTCTGGGCGTTTCGCCTGAGACTTCCTCTCCACGTATGGCCCTAAAGCTTAACCGTTGACAACAGCTTCGCAAATGGGGGGGGCTCCTTTCCAAAATGTGGCTCTCGCCGCAGCGCCGCGCACATTCGCTTCAAACATTTACAAGAGCTTCACGGATTGAGGGCGGTTCCTTTTCAACATGTAGCTCTCGCCTAAGCGCCGCGCACATTCGTTCTAAACTTGTGCAAAGGTTTCACGGAATGAAGGCCGTTCCTTATCAAAATGTTGATCTTGGCTTTGCGCCGCGTGCATTCGTTTTTACGAGTTGCAAGAGTTTCCCGGGTTCCCATGATCAGCGTACCAGAAATGGTGTTGTGAACGGGTTCAGGATCATGCGGGCGCAACCGTTATGTTGATTCGCGGTGTGAAGTCCCAGGGATGGCGTCCTGGCACGATTCTGGATCGTCAAGGCGCAGCAGTCAGATTGATCCGTGGCGTTAGAATCCCGAGAACAACATGTTGGCATGCATCAGGGTCTTCAAACGGTTGCCTTCCAACGAGGAAGTTCCCTCAATTGAAATGAACCATTGTACGGGGCCTATGAAGAGAGAGCTTGGAGGGAGGGAGTATTCCAACATCGTTGATGACTCTTGAGTTTACACTGGTCCTCCTCCTCCTCCTCCTCCTCTTCCTCCTCCTCTTTGTCCTCCGCCTCCTCCACTCCACCACCTCCTCCTCGTCCTCCTCCTCCTCCTCACCGTCAGCATCATGGTCATCATCATCTACATCATCATCATCGGCATCATCACATTCACCAGCATCCTCATCATCCGCATCAGCATCAGCAGCAGTAGCAGAATCATCACCGTCGCCATCAGCACCATCACCATCATCATCAACAGCATCATCATCATCATCATCAGCATCAGCATCATCAGCATCATCATAATCGTCATCATCATCAGCATCATCATAAGCATCATCAGCAGTATCATCATCATCATCAGCAGCAGCAGCACCATCATCGGCGGCGGCGGCGTCGGCGTCGGCGTCATCGTCGCCATCCTCATCTCCATCACCGTCATCACCATCATCATCATCATCATCATCATCATCATCATCATCATCATCATCATCAGCATCGTCATCATCAGCATCATCGCCATCACCATCACCATCACCATCATACATCAGTCAACCAATCGTCATCATCAAGCACCCATCAGCATCGGCACCCTCATAATATTATCAGGATCCGTATCACCACCATCAGTGCCATCATCATCATCATCATCATCATCATCATCATCATCATCATCATAAGCATCGTCATCATCATCAGCAGCAGCATCACCATCACCATGACCATGCTGTTATGTTATTCATATTCGTCTTCTTCTGATTATTATTATGTTGTATAAGTTCCTTATCCTCATCCTGCTCCTGCTCCTGTTCTGGCTCCTGCCCCTCGTCCTCATCCTCCTGCTCCTCATCATCCTCATCCGCCTCTTCCTGTTGCTGATGGAGTCCGAGGACTGCGCCGCATGTACTCGCCGTATCGTCCCACTGGAACGTTGAGTTCCCGAGCTCGGGGGCGAACGGGCGATCGGAGCAAGAATTCCTCTTCCTCCTCCTCCCTCCTCCTCCTCCTCCTCATCCACCTCCTTCATTCCTTGCCTTATGAACAACCCCCCTGTCGCCCCCCCCCCCCCCCCGCCCCCCCCCCCCGAGGCCAGTGGGAAGGGCGGGACGTGCGTCTCGCCTGAGACTTCCCGAACATGCCTGCGCCTCATGCTTAAGAACTGGCAGCAGCTTCACAGATCGAGGGCGGGACGCTTCCAAAATGTGGATCTCGCCATAGCGCCGCGCACAGCCGTTCCAAACAATTGCAAGTGTTCACGTATTGCGGACAGGTCATTTTCAGAATGTGGTTCTCGCCGTAGCGTCGCGCACATTCGTTTCAACAAGCCGCGAAGGATTCACTGATTGAGGACTGGTGGTTTTCAAAATGTGGTTCTTGCGCTAGCGCCGCGCACATTCGTCTTAAACAATTCCAAGAGTTTCACGGGTTGGGGGCAGGTCGTTTTGTGATTCTTGCCTCAGCGCCGCGCACAGTGGTTCTCAAAGTTTGCAAGGGTGTCATTGGTTCTTACGGTTATCGTACCAGAGATCGTATGTTGGAACGACTCAGGGTTGCCAGGGCGCAACAGTTGCGTTGATTCGCGGCTTTGAAGTCACAGGAATGGTGCTCTGGCACGATTCAAGATCATCAAGGCGCAGCAGCCAGGCTGCCTCGTGGCGGTGAGATCATGAGAATGGTGTTTTGGCACGCTTCAAGATCTTCAAACGGTTGTGTCCAAACGGGGCGCTCCCCTCAGTGGAAATGAATCCGTGTGGGGGCCTAGGAAGAGGAAGCTTGCAGGGAGGATATATTCCAGCATCGTTGAAGAGTCCTGGGTTTACACTGGTCCTCCTCCTCCTTCTCCTCCTCCTCCTCCTCCGCCTCCTCCTCCTCCCTCCCCCCTCCCTCCCTCCCTCCCTGCCTGCCTCCTCCTCCTCCTCCGCCTCCTCCTCCTCTATTCTTTTCCTTGTGCATAACTCATCCTTGTCGCACCCCGAGGCGTGTCAGCAGGGCGGGCCGAGTGTTTTTGCCGCACCACGGGTGACCCTCAAGCTGAACGTTTCACAGAGACTCACGGCTGGAGGCGGACCGCTTTCAAGATGTGGCTCTCGCCATAGCGCCGCGCACAGTCGCCTTAGAACATGCAGCAACTCCACTGATGGAGGGCGAGCCGCTCTGAAAATGTGGCTCTCGCCTGGACACCGCGCTGATTCGTCTTAAACGAGTGCGAGAGTTTCACGGATGGAAGTGGGCCGCTTTCAAAATGTGGCTCTCGCCTTAGCGCCGCGCACATGCGTCTAAACAAAATATATTACCAGAATTTCCCACATCATGATGTAACGGAGTTAGCGGGATCAAGTGGTCACAAAAATAGTAAGGGAAAAACTATTACCATGACGTGCATATATTGTCATGGAAGGGCAGGTGGCCGCAGCATCGAATCGGAAAGTCGAATCGGATCGACACGAAGATCGAATCGGCAGAGGTCGGCAGAAGTCGGCAGCCGAATCGAGATCGGCAGAAGCCGGCGGGGCCGAGTCGGACCGAATCGGAAACCCGATCACGGCAAGCCGGATCGGAATCGAAAGCGCAAGGCCGGGAGGGTAAAGGAGGAGGCGGGGGAGGTGATTGGCCGTCCCATCCGCCCCTCCTCCTCCTCCTCCTCCTCCTCCTCCTCCTCCTCCTCCTCCTCCTCCGCCTCCTCCTCCTCCTCCTCCTCCTCCTCCTCCCGACGGTGTTGTCGTCGCGCGTCGCCGCAGACGTGGCTGTGTGTCGCACGCGCGTCGCTGCACACGGGCCTCGGGGCCCCCCGCGGGGGAGGGGACAGTGGAGGAGGACACAGCGGGGGAGGGGACAGCGGGAGGGGACAGTGGGCGAGGGGACAGTGGAGGGGACAGCGGGGGGGGGGGACAGCGGGAGGGGACGGCGGGAGGGGACAGTGGGGAAAATGGGAGGGGGCAGCGGGAGGGGACAACGGGACGGGACAGCGGGTGAGGGGGCAGTGGGCCAGGGGACAGTGGGCGAGGGGACAGTGGGCGAGGGGACCGCGGGAGGGGACCGCGGGAGGGGACAGCGGGAGGGGACAGCGGGAGCTCCCACGGGGACCTTCGGTGGAGCTCCCAACGGGGCCACGAAGCGCTCTGTACTGGGTGGGGGAGACGCGCGCGGGCTGCGCCACTGGAACCTTCGGTGGAGCTCCCAACGGGGCCACGAAGCGCTCTGTACTGGGTGGGGGAGACGCATGCGGGCTGCGACACCGGGACCTTCGGTGGAGCTCCTTATGCCGCCACGAAACGCTGTACTGGGTGGGGGAGACGCATGCGGGCTGCGACACCGGGACATTCGGTGGAGCTCCCTCTGGGGCCACGAAGCGCTGTACTGGGTGGGGGAGACGCATGCGGGCTGCGACACAGGGACCTTCGGTGGAGCTCCCTATGGGGCCACGAAGCGCTGTACTGGGCGGGGGGCACGCATGCGGGCTGCGCCACTGGAACATCCGCTGGAGCTTCTGATGGGGCCACGCAACGTGTGAGGGGTGTGCCGACATGGTGGACATGCGGTGAGCAGATGCGAAAAGCAGATGCAGGGATAGGAGGAGGGAGGAGGGAGGAGGGGGCCGAGGAGGGAGTGAGTGAGGAACGAGGGGCGCTGTCTCTTCAAAACGAGGACCCCAAATCACATGATGATTGGGGAAAAACGAAAAGGGTCGTTTCACACGTCAACTTCGTGTCTATCATAGTTTTATTTGAACCCTATTAAATTCCGAATGAATTCCTATTGAAATCCTATTGTACTGTATTCATAGTGTACTCCTCTCCAAAGCCTACAATGTTTCCTATTGCAGTGTGTTCCTGGTGTATTCCAACTCTACGAAACCGAAAAGTGCTCAAGGGATTCATGTTGCATTCCTAGTGTACGTCTATTGTTGGTCAATGGCATCCCTAGTGTGTTCCTATTGCATCCCTATCGTTGTCCTATTGTACCCCTAGCGTAAGCATATTGGATTCATCGTGTGTGTGCATGTTGTGCTCATGGTTGTCCTACTGTGCTCCTATTGGGTTTCTGTCGTAATCCTATGTGTGTGTGTGGGGGGGGTATTGTATTCCTATTGTGGTCCTATTGCGTTCCTCCTGTGGTTATATTGCGTTCCTATTGTGGCAACTGGCACGGCCAGAGCAACCCCTCTGTTGCATGCAGCGCGTGCACACCCTGGAAGGGCAGAAGAAAGTATTTCAGCCCCGCGCCTCCAAGGGGAACTGCCAAGCTGTAGTGAGAAGTTCGTCATCACCTTGTTCCCCACCTTGGACGAAACAGGCATGGCGCTCCAGGGAGACAGAGCGAGAGCGGTGGATCATCTCTCCTGGAATGGCCCACACACACACATGCGCGACTCGGCTACACTGCGCATGATACAGAAGTCGACGCAAGAAAAATGCCATATTCGGCGGTGGACAAACCTCCCTTTAGTAAACCTCCCCTTAGTGAAAACGGCCTGGGACCGAAACCGGCGGACCCGGACCCGCAAAAATGGCGGCCGCGACGCCCTCTCGCGAACCGAAAACGGCCAATTCCTTAATCGACGTGTCAGGGCAGGAGTTCTGTCCACCCCCAAACGATTGCCATATAGTGAGATGCGCCATGTCCAAAAGCAATGGGTCATGTTCCTCCCAACCCTCCCGCTTTGGGCTGTCGTTATGACAAGAGCACTATGGTCTCCACTCGTCCATCGTCCTCCCCCTCATGCGTCCTGCGTCCTACAGTCGGGGCGTTGACCTAAGGAACCCTAAATAAGAAACGAGGCCCCTTTTTTCCATACGTTAAATTTCGATGTCCCACTGAAAGCCTAAGGAAAACCGAAGGCAAACTGAGAAACAATTAAGGAACACCGAGCCTCTCCCCAACGCAAAGGGTTCCTTCTTCAGCGCCCCGACTGTACGTCCTGCCTCCTGCCTCCTCTTCCTTCTCTTCCTCCTCCCGTCTCTCATTCGTCCGGCTTGCGGTGCAGCCCCGTTGTGACCCTGCCTCTCCCGTGTGCTCCGAGGGGGGAGGGGGGACCTCGCGGCTCCCTGGGGGGCTGGGTGGTGTAAAAACTGTCGCCACTTTCGTGGGCTCCTGGGAGGCCTGGCGGAGCGGAGCGGTAAACGGACCCAGCCGAGACCTCGCGGCTCCCCTGGGGTGCTGCGAAGTGCGCCACTGTCGCCACTTTCGTGGGCTCTCGGG